GCGCTGCCCCTCGCCGATCGGTATTGCGGGGGCGATGGGTTCCCGGGGTGCGGCGCCGTGCAACTGGCTCACCAAGCGATCAACCAAGCCGCGCGCCTCGGGGCCCCACCGCCCGCCTGTCTCGCAAGCAAAAACGACCAGCCGTTGCGGGCCAGGCGGCGTCCTCCTCGGCCGCGTGTGGTTGCGGTTGGCCGTCAAGACGGAGCGGAGCAACGAGTGTGGCGTCGATCCAGGCGGCGCCTGTCCTGCGCACTGAAGCTTGGCGCAGAAGTGTTGGCCAACCACTGCTGAGGGACGACCCTAGGCAAGGTCGCCAGCCCACAAAGCTCGCCCGAGGCACCACAGTTTTAGTTTCAAGGAAATGTGCTGATTGCACAGCACATGTTTGGGTTTATGAAATTTCGCCCAAGCACCTTGGATACAATGACGCAGCTCCACAGTACCGCGTTTGGACAGATTCCCGCACAACTTCTTTCCCAAAGCCATCTTCCCATAAACCTCGACGAAGCTGCCTGCCACATCCAAAAACATGGGGCTTGTCAGCGGGGTGGTCGTCAAAATCCTGGCCTTCTGCGGGTTCAGTTGTGACGAGACAGCCCTCAATTCCTTTATCACAGCCCGACAGCGGGGATCGCAGCTGTCTGACCAAATCCGTGGGGTGGCAACTTCCAGCCCGAAGTCCTCTGTGGCTACGCCATACAAAAAGATGGCTTCCCGCGCAGTACGGCATACATGCGGGGAGGATGTTGCAGGCAAGCCAGGTTGGGTCTGCGTGATGACCGCCACTACTGCCCCTCCAAGGTAGGCAGTATGGCGGCCCGTGGAATTGATGTTGAGAACGATGCGCCTGGCATCGGGCGGGGGTGGCAGAAAGCAGCGTCGGCAGCTCTTGACTTGCAAAGCGCGGCTGCCCACAGCGACAACTTGGATGCAGCCTCTGCAGCCATGCTGCTATCCCAGTCCGGACCGTGCTCAGCCCAGGTCTTCTCGATGCTCCCCGTTTGCCCGGAGTTGATCGCGCGACGCCTGCGCTTGCCCTTGCCTTTCGTCCCTGCGCGATGCCGGTGTGGAAGGGAGCAGGACGCTTTTGGCGATCACCGCTCTGCATGTCCGCGATCTGGTGTCTTGCGAGCACGGGGTGAAGCAGGGGCCGTGGCTGCTATGCACACATTGGTCAGGGACCTCAATGTCGGCAGCGTGCCCGGAGATGACCGGCGGATTGAAGTCATAGCCAATGGCTTACCCCTGTGGGGTGGCATGCAACTTGCTGTGGATACCACGCTGGTGTCGGCCTTGTCCTCTACAGGTGCCCCGCGGCGCTACCAGAACCGAGCCGAGGGGGCAGCCCTGCGCCAAGCTCGACGGGCCAAGGAGCGCGCATACCCGGAGCTCCTTCGCCCTGACTCGCGCTGCAGGCTGGTGGTCCTTGCACTTGCGCTTGAGGTTGGCGGGCGCTTCAGTCCGGAAACCGTGGACTTCGTGCAGCGGCTGGCGCGGGCGCATGCGAGAAGTGTGCCGCCTCGTGTGCGCGGCGCCCTCCTTCTTGGCCGCGGGCGCGAGCCGGGTGGCCCTGCCCGCCCACTCGGCCGCAGGTGTCGATGGGCCGCCGCCCTTGGTCAGTGACGTGCTTGCTGACGGCGGGGAGCCGTTTGCCGCGCGCAGCCGCGTCCGGTGAAGGGTGCCCGCCTGCACGTGAGGAGCTGGCCTCCGTAAAAACAGCGGCAAAGACCTCCCGTGCCCGAAGGCGCCCCTTAAAATCCCCCCTGAAACACGTTGAAGCCACTGCGGAAAAAGGCGCGCACGCGAGAAAAAAAAAGAAAAAAGAAAAAGCAGCCGGCCCAGTCTGAGTCCGAAAAAACATCGGGCGCCATCTCCGCGTCGTGAGCCCAAGCAAAAAGATGCAATTCTCACAGCCCCTGATCCGAAACACGCCAGAAACATCATACTCTTGTTGAGTGTCTCCCCAGGCGAAAAGTCACCAAGACCAGACCTGAGCAAAAACCGATGCCTGGGATACCAGCTGGGCTGCGCGCTACCGATCTGCAGTCGGCTCGGAAATCTACCTCAGCTCCGACTGGCGGGAAATTGTTTTTGCAACAAAGGAGCTGGTGCGCCACATGGCGCCGCCGCGCCAGTGCGACTCGGAGTGCGCCGTGGTGCTGGGGAGATGCTGTGGGATGACTTAATCGATCAGACGGTTGAGCATGAGAGTGATCTGTGTCTTGTCACACCTGTCCCGCTTGAACTGGAACTAAGAGCGTTCTCTTGGTCGACTTGCAGAGTGACTCGCTTGTGGCCGAGCGTGTTGAGGTATAGCTCGACCGCGTTGAGCACGTGCTGGCTCTTCTCACGGCGCCTGAATGCTCAGCGGCCAGCCTCATGTCTTGTCGACTAAGGTCAACACCGTCACAAGCACCGACTCTTCAATTGGTTGGACAAGGCCCGCAATCCGTCGTTGTTCGCTCAGTGCGCTGCCACGTGCCCGCTTGATGCGGCGGCGCTAAAGGTCAGCTATGTTGCTTCGGAAGAAATTTCCAGGCGTGAGAGCACGGCCCTTTGACGGCTGCCGCAGCGGCTGCCCTTCACGGCAGCCAACCGAGAAAGGTGCACGCACGCGATGTCAGAACAGCGCGTGCTGCGGCTTACTGTGCGAAACTCCGCACCTTCATGCTTTTGAAGAGCGGGTTGACAAAGAAACGCACTTAGGAACCAAACTGCAAAGAGCACAAATGCAGCCGCTTCGATAAAACGTTTGTGTTGCTGGTTTCGCTGGACGGTTGACAGTTCCTCTCAAAGTCTTGCGGTTGACCCACTCGCAGGTCACTGCGTGGTCTGTGCAAGTGTCAGGCCAGGTAAGCTGCAGTCGGCGGCCCCTGCGCAGCGGATGCAGGATGCACTCGCCCCGGATGCAGGTGGAACTGTTTGCGCGCTCGGAAGCGCTCCGCGCTCCGACGGCCACGGCCCAGGTCGACCAGAGCTGACATTCGCACACGCTGAGGATGGGCGAGCAAAGGCCGAGCGTGCCACCAAGCAGCCGTCGTTCAACGTAGGTGCTGTGCAGAAGAAAGCTCAAGTGGCATTTGGTAGTTGTTGGCCTGTGGCCTGTTTGTTGGAGCATGTGCTAGGTGTTTGCAAAGGGCAGGTGGCGGCGCAACAAAGAATGCAACTACTGGCAGCTTTCCTGGCGACGCGCTTTTGATCCGGGGTGGCTGATTCGGCGCTCTGTTTCTGGCACAGCTGGGGTGATTGGCACGCGCATGCCGCGCAAGGATACCCTCGGCGCCGGCATGTCCTTGACGTCTCCCCAGGACTGCACAGCTGCTGCTGTTTGGCAGGCTGATCTTTGTCAAGGCCTCGTTGCCTTTTTCGGTTTCCAAGCTGCGCGGCCACATGTGACTTGCCTTTCTTGAGAAACTGCTTGCCTGCAGGGGCTAGAGAGGCCGGCACATCTTCGCGGTGATTCAAATCACCGCGAAGACGTCGTTGCAACCCGAAGTCCAAAGAATGCTTCGGCTTCACGGGCCGCATCGCCACATCAGCCGCGAGACGGGACGACCATTCTTCCCTTCGCTCGGATGTCGGCAAAGCCTCGACTCAATGCTGGGAAGATAAGATCCCTGGCAGTAGGGGGGTCGGCGACACACAGCGCTGGAACAAGCTTGAAATTGTCAAAACACGGTGCTGTGCTGAGTACAATATGGAATCGGAGGAGATGAAAGCAGAACAAAATGTGGAAAATGGAAGTACAGCATGGAAGCGCAAGATGGAAGAAAACAAATGAAGAAAAGGATGGAAGTACAAGATGAAAGTACAAGATGAATATTCGGTACATCAAAAAGATATGAAGGTGGGAAAGGTCTAAAGACAAAAGCACTGATGGCGTACAAGGTGGAAGTGGACGTGCAAGGATATGGTGATTCACGATTGATCTAAAACTGGAACAGCGAGATGGAGATGCAAGATACGTTACAAGATGGGCATCTGGTACGCAGATCAAATTGCAAGCAGGAGTGGAAGGTGCAATCAAAGACGAAGAGCAAGAAGTAGGAAATAAGGAAGTACAGGAGGGGAGTAGAAGGTAAAGAACATACGAAAGGCAAGTACGATGATACATGATGGAAAACAGAACAAAAATACAATTGGAGTGATGAAATAGATCAAGATGGAATTACAAGCGGACACAACCAAACTAGGTGGCAAAGGATACGCTTGTGACCAACTGAAAACACAAACTGAAAACACAAGCTGGAAGCCAGAATATGAAAATGCAAGTTCAGTATGGGGGCAACAGAGATGAAGATGAACCACAAGATTGTGGTACACAGTGGAATTCCAATATGGAAGTAGACAATGGAGGCACAAGGCGAAGTCTGGAGTCACTTCAACCCAGTTCCAGTTGGGGCGGCTGGCGTGAGCACAGCTTGCCTTGCAGCTGTGCTCAGGCTGCTTTGAATATCGAGCAGTCGGAGGGAAAGTTGCTGAATTTGCTGTACCCGAGCCAGGCGCGAACCAATGCCTAATCAAGCAAACCCAGCGCCCGCATCCTACATCGACCGTAACTTATGGCGAGCGCCAGTTCAGTGCAACAGCAGCAGCGGGAGCTCCGCATTGGTTCTGTCGATATGCGCTGCGACGCGCTCGAGCCGCTGCGACACCCGTGCGACGGTTGGCAGCTTGCCTGTTGCGGTTGCGCCGTAGCGGCTCGGACAACGATCACATCGTGGCACTCAGACAGGTAACGGACATGCCTGCCTTGCGTTTACACCAGCGAATGATGAAAGCTTAAATATAGAGTCGCTGACTTGCAACTGACCTGCACGCCCCTGGTTCAGGTGCGCAAAGGCTACAGAGTTTGCGCCAATCAGCGTCTTTGTTGGGTCGAATGCTGCCAACTGGTAGCAATGCAACCATATTAGTCTGGCAACTTGAGAGCAAGCCTGCACCAAACCGGGGATGGTGTGTGCAACTCTTGAAAGTCTGTAGAGAAAAAAGGCCCCGTCCTTGCTGCAGTGCCTTACCAAGCTCGGGCAGCCGGGCATTGACCTGAGTCCAAAGCCAAGTAGCCTTACCCTTGACTCTCTTTCAGCCCCCCATTTCAAGGGACCTCGTGCTTTGAAAGGGGCCAGCTGGGCCTCAGGAAGCTGGGCCTCACAGGCCTCCAAGGCCAACACCCGGGCGGAAAGCAAAGCCGAGATGTTGGCCACCTGAGAGAACGGTCAGAAAGTGAGAGCGGTGAGGCCGTCAGGAATTGGATGCATCCAGTGTCCAAATGTGGGTGTGGCTCCTAAGTTCGCCCACCTAAGTTCACCCACTGGTTTCAGTCCACTTCACTTATTGGGGCTCCGTTTTGGGCCCCTACTTCTGAGCCACACCCATGTCACTCGCGCTGGGGACTGGGCCACTGGACCCAGGTAAGAGTTCTCCGAGAGCGGCTCTGTTCGCCAGCCGCCGGCCTCTGGTCGCAACTCGTGCCACGGATTGGGAATGCTTCCATTGGGGCGTCTTCTTTTGAGGGTACCCCATGTTTGGTGGATGTAAAATTACAGGGCAACCAACAAAGAAACCACGACAAGACGCAGCCATTTGCTCCCCCGCCTGGTCTCGACTTAGGATGGTGAACGGCGACAGCAGGGACTCCTGCCGCAAACTGCCCAAAGCTTGCCCCAGATTGCCATGGCCGGCAGTCAACAAAAAAAATAGGTTTCGGCGTGACCCTCTCTGCCCCAAGGAACCAAAGACTAAAACCGTAACCGCAGTTGGCTGCGGGTCAAAAATAAGTACCCCACATGAAACCCTGGCAAGTGGAAACATGGACCAAGACCTGTGGTCCATATCCTGGTGGTTTGATTTTGACCCACGGCCAGTTGTTCAGTTTTGAGCCACGCCCACATTGAAGCAGCATCCTTCTCCGGGCCCGTGAGGCTGCTGAGCTCCTGCATTGAAATCCCAGGTGTGTGGAACCCCGTGTCAGGTTCGCAGGCGCGCCAGTCTCATACAAATTCGGAATATCTTACAAAGGGGACACACACACACACACACACACAGACACGGACAAAAAACAAATCAAAAACAAGGTCAAGTGAGCTTCCCCGCTCCTCGTGTGAAATGCCATGCATCCCGCTGTACGCCTTGGCCCAAACTTGAAAAGCGCTCTTCCTTCTCAGACATTCCGAGCTTGGTACTGGCACATCCGGCAACCAGGGGAGGCCAAGGGCAAGGCTCTGCATCTGGAGTACCTGAAGACCGGGAGTTGGAGACGAGCAGAGTGACACTAGCTTTCAAATCAAGTCGGACCCGATGCTGCCACTGATGGCCCCCTTGAGCAAGCAACACATCCAAAAAATGATTGCACTGCGTCTTACGAGGCGGCAAAGAACACTTGCATGGGGAGAAACAAGCAGAGTTACACCACCGACTAAAGCTGAACCCAAACCGCAAAACGCGAGGGCGAAAAGGGCGGCTTTGGGGCAACGGAGCTTCTTCTGGGGGCCAAAACAGTGGCCCTTCCGGCGCCGCACACCGATGGAAGCACGGGGCGCCCAGGACTCGTCCACCGCCGTCTTCATCAGCAGCTCCGAGAGGCTGCCGGCCTCCGAGGCTTGCTCCACCTCGGAGTCCGAGGATGACCCCAGAGGTCACCGAACGAAAAGCGTACAGGAAGGCCTGAACAAACCAAAACCGGAGGGTGGTGTGTTTGGGGGGGGGGTAGGAGCAGCTTTGTGAACAATGACTACTACCCAATAGAAACCAGAAACTCGCTTGTAAAGGGCCTCAAAAGGTGAAGCTTGGAAAGTGCAGCTAGCTGGGTCAGGGACATGTCCCCAAAGCAGACCCTCTAGTGAGACCGGGTGAGCCTCACCATTTCATGGCCCTCGCCCTCTCCCCCCCCTGCCGCCACGCCGGTGCCGGTGCCGGCCTGCTTCTCAAGCTCGGGACCTTCGTCTGCCATGTTCTTCTGGTCGATCCAAATGCTCCGCAGCAGGGCGGTGGTCGCCTCTGCCCCAAACCCGCGACCCCCAAGCCTCGTGTACGTACTCAGCCGTTCTCGGATTGATGGCCCTCCAGGAAAACTCCCTCTTCGGCAATGGAACAAAAATGCCATGCTTTCCAAAAGGGATCAACTATGTACCCTCCATCCAAGCACAGCAGCTGACATTGGATCTTCAGTCCACTCTGGAGGCCGGGGTCAGGCCCACCTTGATGTTAAGCACCCATTTGTTACTTGACTTGCTTTTGAGGGGTCTGCCTAGCTGGCCTCAGCACTCTGGTGCAGCAGCAGGGGGTGCGGCCGCCCTCGAAACCGGCCTCAAGCCGCGCGTTGGGCCAAGCTCGGGGGTGCAAGCACTGCTTTGAACCTGGTGTGTCCCCCTAGGTCGGATTTTCCTGGTGGGCTTCCTGTGAACTGACTTTGATACTTACTGACTTTGACACCCCGTGAAACAAGCCAAAATAGTGAGGCCAGTGTAAACCCACCAAAACAAGGGGGTGCCAAGGGCCACCACCAAAGCACCAGCGCCTTCGCCCCGAGGCGTCGGCCGAAGAGGAGGGCGCCGCCTTCCCCCAGCAGCAAGGCGCGGAAGTTCCGCGCCAGCCAGGCGGCCTGCTGCACGCCCAGCACCTCAAGGCTCGGGATCAGAGGCACAGGTCCAGTGGGAAGAGGGTGTGGTGAAAATAGGCGGTAGAATGGAATCCTGGTGTTTGACGCCGGATGGAAGGCACAGGATGACTGTTCTTTTGAAGTCCCGTACTGATGGCCCATGACTTTCTCGCGGATCAGATGGCACGTGCAGTCAATGTTTGAGGGCTTGGGGTGTGAAGACTTTATGAGGTAGTGTTCAAGAGGCCTTGAAGATTTTTGCGGACATGAACATCAAACTTGTTCGTGTGCGCCATCAACACTCTAGCCACCAGCCTCTGCTGCCTGGAAAGCAGGGCAGACCAAGGATTGGGTCGAGATGTAATTTGGGATGTTTGTTTATTTTCAGATTTTGTTGTTTTCCGTCCTGGCTACTAAAATCTGTAATTTACAGCATTTTCTCGCGAAATGTACGTATTTTACGCTAGTCCGTCATCCCCCGCATGTCCAGCCAACATCCCCAGCATCACCAGCAAATCGAGGGCCTTGGCTTCCTACATCTTCAGCATCACCAGTTCCTCTCCGGCAATTTATTTATGTATGCATGTTAAAAAAAGGGGCGGGTCCCTGTCATGATGGTAAAAGTGAGGATTCAAACACGGGCAAGCTAATCCCTGTAAAACACCTCAAACGTAGCGGGGGGGGGGGGGGGGGTTGGGGGGGGCGAATACCAGCACCTACACTTGCATTATTGATTCCCTGCCTGTGTTGGGAAGGAGCAAGTTTCGCGAAAGAAAGTGATGATTCAATCAGGGGTGCATTCTTCAATCTCTGCCAAAAATCCAAAAAAAAGTGTGGGGGGGGGGGGGGGTTGGGGGGTGGCAGCCCCCCATGGTGATTGAAAAAGTATGGATCGAAAAAGTGATGATTCAATTAGCAAAAAACATATAGGGGGGTTGGGGGGGGGGGGGCGGCCCATGATGATTGAAAAAGCAATGATTCAATTAGGGGCGAAACGTCTAAAAGTCGCGGGGGCGTTGGGGGGGCGGCAGCCTCCCCAGGATGATCGAAAAAGTGATGATTCCAAAAAATATACAAATGAAGCGGGGGGGGGTTTGGGGGGGGGGGGCAGCCCCCCGTGATGATCAAACATGTGATGTTTCAATTAGGGTCAAAGAACCTAAAAAGGTAGCTGTCGCATGATGATCGAAAAGGTGATGATTCAATTAGGCGTGCAAGTGTGAGCTTAAATTACTTACAACAAAAGAACTGGCCTTGCGGAAGCCCCAAGTCAAATATGCTTGTGTTCCTCAAACCTCCCTCTGCTTTCCTTTTCAGACGCACCATGGATCTGGACAGTTTACAGTGGTCTTTGCACTTCCCACCCTTTTGATCGGCGGAAACCCCATCCAAAAAGGAAATATACTGACACCTAGCGCTTCCAGCCAGAAATAATTGAAGAAACCAGGGGGAAACATCATTCTCAAGTTTCCAAAAAATGGACTCCGCATCAGTTGCGAGACCTTGCTGAACCTACGTAACCCAGCCAGAAACTGTTGTGGAGCAAATTGAAAAATGGTTAACATATGTTCTGTTCCTTTTTGCAGCAAGCCAACAATCGGCAACTCAGCACGCGCAAGCCGCCTCGGCATCCTCGGACCGGCCCCTTGACCCTTTCAAACCCTCCCCACTTGTCCTCGTGACTAAGGAGACCGTGACAGACTGATAAACGGACAGGAAACCCTCAGGGCCGGCAGAGCTCAGAGCCAAGGACCATGTTTTTCTGAAGTAAAAGCTAAGTGGGCTACAGCCCATGTGTCTTCCTCCTCTTGGCCGAAGCAGCCTCAAAACAACACGCTCCATAGTGAAAGCGCCATTTGGCCCAAGCCTTCTGGGGAGCCCATTTGTGAACCAGCCCAAGCGGGCTGCAGCAGGAACGTGGTTCCCGCGGTGGTGCGGAATTCGCTCGTTGTGCTCGGGCCCTGCAATGGCCAAAGAATGTGTTGGATCGACCAGCATTGCAAATGAGAGCGCAGCGCGTGGCGAGTCGACCAAGCAACGTGGCCAGCGCGCGAGAGCAAAGCTTTGGGCTCCAACGGTCTAGCGATGAAATCGCTGCAGCCTTGGCCTCAACTATGGCCCGACGCGCGCGCACTGCCACTATTGCAGCAGCTCTCTGGCCAACAACTCGCACTGTAGTGTGTATAACTTAGCAAGAGCCGGGGAAGAAAAAGTTTCTTACTCGCACGTTCCGTAAAACTGAGGAATAGCCTGAGAAAAACAACGGTCTTGGGCAGCAATGCGCGTGTCGTTACAAGACCTAGCAATCTTGTCGTTACAGCCGTCAGCCCCTCAAGCTTGGCGTCCTACATCTTCAGCATCACCAGTTCCTCTCCGGCAATTTATGTCTGCATGCTAAAAAGAGGGGCGGGTCCCTGTCATGATGGTAAAAGTGAGGATTCAAATACGGGCAAACTAATCCCTGTAAAACACCTCAAACGTAGCGAGGAGGTTGGGGGGGCGGCAGCACACCCCCATGATGATTGAAAAGTGATGATTCAATTAGGGTTGCATTGTTTTATCTCTGCCACACATCCAAAAAAGTAGCGGGGGGGTTGGGGAGGGGGGCGGCAGCCCCCCATGGTGATTGAAAAAAAATGATGATTCAAGTAGGGGCAAGAAGTCTAAAAAGTCGCGGGGGGGTTGGGCCCCCATGATGATCGAAAAAGTGATGATTCAATTAGGGCCAAAAAGCATATTCAAAAATAAAAAAAAATATGAAAAAATAAAAATAAAAATAAAATAAAAAAAGCAGCGGGGGGTTGAAGGGGGCGGCCAGCCCCTCCCATGATGATTCTATTAGGGGCAAAAAGTCTAAAAAGTCGCGGGGGGTTGGGGGGGGGGGGGGCTGCCGCCCCCCCCTATGATGATCGAAAAAGTGATGATTCAATTAGGGCCAAAAACATATATATAAATGCAGCGAGGGGGGTTGGGGGGGGGCGGCCCCCGTGATGATCAAACATGTGATGTTTCAATTGGGGTCAAAGACTCTAAAAAGTGGCTGTCGCATGATGATCGAAAAAGTGATGATTCAATTAGGCGTGCATTTTAATCGAAAGGGGGCTGGCGGGGGGCACCAGAGAGGACTGGCGATGCTGAGGATGCAGGAAGCCAAGGCCAAAAACCAACTGGGAAAGCAGAGGATGCGAAAAGCCAAAGCCGCAAAAAGCCGCATGAACCCACAAAGACGAACAGAGAGGAACTGTGAATGCAGAGGATGCAAAATGAAAAGCCACAAAAACCCACGTAAACCCAGGTAAAAGCCACAGAAACCCAAGTAAAATCCACAAAAGCCAAAAAGCCGAATGAAAAAAATGGCCCTCCCCAAGGAAAAGGGGAAGGAAGGCAAGACTGAGAGCTCACCCAAACAGACCAAAACGGCACATGCGCCCACTGAACAGGGAGGGAAAAAGGAGAAGGAAATGCAGGAAAAAGTCTTGCGCCAAAACACTGACGGCAAGCTCATCCAAACGGACCCCAGAGATGGCGGCACTGCGCCCACTGACCCAGGGACAAGGCGGAGAGAAGGGGGAAGGAGAGAATGCAAAGGAGGGAACCAGAATTCGCTCCCAAAATGCACCGAAAGCCTCCAAGTCGAAGGCAAGGCAGACAGGGGAAGGGGGTGAAAAGAAGGGAACATGGCACATCGCTCTCACCAACCAAGGATGATACATAGTCAATCTCAAATCTGAAAAGAATGCAAGCATGCAAGAAGCCGGCGACGCTCTTTCCAACGTGGAAAATGACTGCTGTAATGCCGAAGTGGGATTCCCGTCCTCATAGCAATGTTGTCATGTCAGGCAAATTCCCCCATCGCAGAAACTGACGACCCAAAACCAAAGTTCCCACACGCTACACAGCACCCCCAAATCGGTTTGGTCCAGGTTGCGAGTGTCTTCTTTTTGGAGGAACCTCCTTTCCCAGACCTACGGTGTGCCTTTCTGTTCAGTCCCTTGTTGTAGGGACGAGAGTCTTGGGATTCCTTGGCTCAAAGACGGATTGTGCAAAGCCCTATGCATCACCGTCCACAACCACCGACAACCCACCCCTCGAGCTCCGACGACCCTCCCCCTGGATCCATTGAAGAACATTCGAAGGCCTCTCAAAATTACTCCTGGGGAGGCTGAATTCCCTTGAACCCGCCACTCTTCTGGAAGTTCAGGTATATGGCTGTGGGTCAAAACTAGGTACCCAACACATGGCACCTTGGTTCACTGGAACCAAAGACCAAAACCTGCGCAACTCTGGCTCTTCTATTTTGCGCCACACCCAAATCCGACTTTCGAAGGCCCTCCCCGCCTGTGCGGTGAACAGCTCCCCCACCAGCGCCACCAGCTCCGGCCCACTTTGCCGCAGCCAGCTGACCGCCTCGCGCGCCACCCGCAGCTCCTCTTGCTGAATATAAGCACGTTCAGGCGATGCTGAAAACCACCTCCTTTAAGCTTCCCCTACAAAAGCTTTGAAAAATACCGGGGCCGGTTTTGCGTCTTTGTTGAATCCAATGTTCCAAGCAAAATTCCAGTATTCGCTCAAGTAATTTGTTGCGAGTCAGAGGCTTCCTCTTAAATCCGCTCAACAGGGGTAGCAGCACTTACCTCTTTTAAACACTCCTTTCAGGCCAGATAACTCCTTTCAGGAGTGCAAGTCCAAAATGGGCTGCAAACGGGGAAACCAAATGCTATGAAACAAGGGGCATGTACTTCTGCTCATAGAGGCTTGGAGCCAACTCTGTGTTCAGTTTCAAGCCTGTCCTCACGTACCCCCTGAGGGTGCATTATGAATGGCTCCAAACCATATGACATGCGCTAACAAAAAAAAAGAGTCTGGTCTCGTGTAAATTCTGGTTCAACTCCAGGGATACACTGAGAAAGGGGTACACTCTCATGGGCACATGAGCCCGCCCTCAGAGGTTCCGTGTCATTCGATGTTCAATGTGTGTGTGTGCGATGTCTGCGAGTGCTTCTTGTTTGGACCGCATGCTGGTTCTGTTCCTGTCACCAAGGACGCAACCATGTCCATGTCAGCTCCACATGGCTCTCCCAGTCCTGAGCCACCATCGCCTCGGGACCTGAGGAAGAGACCGACTTGCCAGCTCCAAGCCAAAAAATATTCATCCAATGAGACTGTTTTTTGGGTGTGGCTCAAAATTTAAGGGCTGGGGTTACGCAGATGGTCGTCTTTGTTTCCATCCAGGAGGCCCAAAAATGGATTCCACTTTGTTGAGCCACAGCCATTTGGGTATGGGTCAAAATCAAACCTCCAGCGGACCGCTGGTTTTTTAATTTCGTCTTTGTTTCCATTTACCAGGATTCCATTCTGGGTATCGATTTTTGACCCACGCCCATTTGATCAGCATCCTTTTGAGACTGTGGGTCAGAAGCATCCTAGCAACTGAATCTGGGCAAAGTGATTGGGTACCATCCGTAGGATGCATCCCTCTCGTAACAAAACAAACAAACGAGCCGGCATCTGGTCCACGTGGATTGAGCGTCCCGGCCTGTAAATGAATTCAAAGCATCTGCTCATGCAAGCTGCACTCCTAATGCTCACTACAACTGGTTAGAACTTGTGTGCTCGCTTGGGGAGCTATCACTGGATTCAAATGAAGGGCGAGACCTTCCGGACGACGCCGCGTCCCTGGCTATAATGATAGAGGGTGGTGTAGCCAAGGTGGAAGGGAAGCCAGGCGTACTGCAGGAACTTGCCAAGCAGCTTGTGGGCGTCGATGGACTGCTTGGCCAGCCTGTCGTTCCGCTTGTCATCCTCGGCGTTGCCGGTCCTGTCAGAGCCGGGCGCCCACTTCAAGAAGTACTCGTTGGCGATGCCGGACATCGGCAGCATCAGGGCCAACAGGTAGAAGGCGCGCAGGCTCTGAGTTTCGATCATCTGCACGAGGGGGTGTCCAGGGAAGCGCGGAGGGATGCCGCTCTTCAAGCGGAAGAAGACGCGCAGAATCAGGGCCACCAGCATCGCCAGGCCCGACTGCTTGTGCCACCAGAGCATCTGCTTCCGAGTCTGACCTTCCGTGTTGGCGGCCACCTGGGCCGTGCCAACCGCGCCGAAGATGCCCACAGCCATGATGAGGTGCAGATGTCTAAGAGCCCGGCTGTAGGTGAACTGCGACAGTGCCTTGCGGTTCTGCAGCGTCTTGTAGACGTACCAGCCCACTGCCAGCATCGCCACGTCCGTGACCTTGTACTTCATGTATCGCATCAACTCCGACACCTCCTCGCCAACCACCTGCGACACCTGGGCATCTGCGGACCAGTCAGTGTTCTCCGCCGGCACCAGCTGGCCCACCAGAAGGTCCCGGTCCCTCTGCACGCGCGCCTTCTCCGAGTGCTCGAAGACCTCAAAGTCCTTGGTGCAGTCGGTGCCAGCCTTGCTCAGCAGGATGTCATCGCCCCCAGGGTGGCTGCCCAGCAGCGGCTTCAGATTGTAGACACGGTTGTGGATGATCATGTACGGCTCGTCCGAGCTCGTGTGCTTGGCCACCTCCGCGCGAGTGAAGAACGGCAGCTCCTTGCCCGCGCTGATCTGCGCCAGCTTGGGGAAACGGCTCTCCTCCGACAGCGTCGGCGCGTCCGTCTTGCCCGGCACCTTCACAGAGGTCTTGGCCGCTTCGATGTCATCCTTGGAGGGCCCCTCCAGCCGCCGCAGCTCGTCATGCAGCTGCTTCAGCTGCTCCAGCACTGGCTCCTTCTCCAGCTCCTCACCCACCTCTCCCATCTTGGCCTCCGGCCGCATGTAGAACTCCATCCACTGCTTGCTGGGGAACCTGCCCGGAATCTTGTCCCACATCGCCGAGGCGTCGCGGCCCGCCCACGCCAGGATGGAGTTGCGCTGCTCTGGGTGGTGCATCAAGAAGTCTGTGAGGTCGTACACGCTCCGGTTGATGGCGATCCAACAATCGTGCGGCTTGTTGTGACGCGCAACCTCCGACAAGGGGATGCCCCCGCTCAAGTTCTTGGGCTCCAGCGGCACGTCGTGCAGGTGAGCCACGTCCTGCGCTCAGCATCACACGAAAAACATGGGATATGCGGCAGACGTCATGCAGCTTGCTTCACTCACTTTCGGACAACCGCCCTCTCGTGAGCACGGCCAAATCATGCAGCTTGCTCCGTGTGCCCATAGGTCTTTGCCAACCCGCTGGATCCATCACACACCGGGCTCCTGATCAGCCAGCAGCTTCTCGATCTCCTTCTTCACCTCTACAGCCTTGTTGTAGTCCTGCGGAAATGGAAAAGAACATGTGAAGAAACCACCTCAGCGATGCTCTTGGCAGCAGAGCAAACGAGCCTTGGCCTGGGGGCTCTGGGGCTCTCTGTCTGAATCTCTGCGCCAGGTGATTGTTTCAGGCTGTTGGTTGGGTAATCATGGCACAAGACGCATTGCAAATTAAGCTGTAAGCCCAGAAATCGAGCAACTGAACATCAAAAAAAGAAAGGTGAAAGAGGGAAACAATCAAAAACGAGAGGACGCGCGAGCAAGATAAAGAAACAAAGAAAGCAAGGAAGAAAGAAAGAAAGGAAGGAAGAAAGAAAGAAAGAAAGAAGAAAAGAAGCTTAGAAAGGGAAGAAAGAGAAGAAAGGAAAGAGAGGAAAAACCAGAAGCAACGAAAGAAAGAAAGATGGAAAAATGTGTTGTGCGTGCATGTGTTACCTGGTTTAGAGAGAGCGAGAGAGAGTGAGAGAGGAAAAGAAGAGAAAGACAGAGAGAGAGAGAGAGAGAGAGAGAGGATCAAAAAGAGAGCGAGAGACAGAGCGAAACAGAGAGGGAGGAGAAAGAGAGAGAAAGGGGGGAGACGGAGAGAAAGAGGAAGAAACAAAGAAAAAAGAAAAGAGAAGGATACAGCCACAAGGCAAGGAAAAAGCGAAACAATAGCAAAAGAGAAAGAGAAAAGCGAGAAAAGCGACAGAGTGCAAAGGAAGATATTGTAGTTTCGATATACAGACGGACAGACAGACGGACGGACAGACACACAGACAGGCAAGCAGGCAGGCAGGCAGGCAAACAGACAGACAGGCAGGCAGACAGACAGGCAGGCAGGCAGAGACAGAGAGAGAGAGAGAGAGAGAGAGAGAGAGAGAGAGAGAGAGAGAGAGAGAGAGAGAGAGAGAGAGAGCGAGTGCCCGAGCAAGCGAGGGACAGAAAGAGAAAGAGTGACAGAGAGACAGAGAGGGGGACCAAAAGCATAATAAGAGGGAGGAAGAGGGGTAAATAAGAAAAAGAACGAGCGAAAGAGCAAGAGCCAAAGACAGAACCAAACCCAACAGCCGCATCCTGCCTCCGAGTCCAAGGCCACACGTTTTTGTGTCTCCAGGCGCTGCAGCTTGGTCTTCAGCCCGGAATCGAGACTCCTAAAGCCAACTCATCAATTCGATGCAAAAAGAAAGGGGAAAAAAACCGCTTTCCGGCTGTCAAGTCATTCAGCAGGAAACAAACGCTCAAGTCGTTGTAACACTCGCTGCAGTCCGAGCATCTTGTCTTGCAAAAGGCGCTGGATGCTGTCCGCCTTGTGTGTGGAGCTTGTTTGGCTCAAGACACGGTCGATTTCCTCGCGGATTTCCACAATGCGCACCTTGCCAGGCTTGCTGCGTGAGAAACAACCTCCCACACTCTCACACACACAAAGCCTGCTGTCCAGTGTCGTGGGTTGAACTGTTCAACTATACACTGAGCTTCTTTTGGCATGCTTGGCCACACAAACATCACGGGAGCAGCACCGGCCTCCCGCAGCGTGTGCCAGAACTCATCGGACATCAGGCTCTCATCCACGCCCAAGTTTCCAAGGAGAGCCTCTGGGCGCAAGTAGGAGTCAATCCTTGGAGCATCTGAGGCGCAAGGCGACGAAAAACGAGACGAGATGGTACGTGACACGACGGCATGCAGAGTGGAGGAATGAAGAAGGAAACCTGAAAAAGACCTGAAGCAGACCTGCGGACTGTGCTGCCGCGCTTCTTGACACCTTTGTGAATCTCGTTGAAGAGCTTGGACGCATCTTTGCCAGCCCAGGAGAGGATGGTGGTGGGGCCACCTGGATGCCTGTCCATGAACTCTGAGAGGTCATAGACCTGCCCAATGCACAGAGTGGTACGCAAGCTCATGTCAAGGTAAACACTCACGCTTGTTCAGCAAGTCTGCCCCTTGCCACAAACGCCTGGCCTTGCCATTGAGAGCCACCCAGCAGTCTTCGGGAGTGCAGTGGCGGTTCACCTGCAGCAGAACACAAACACGAGCCTCGAGATAGCCACGATGTTAGGAAGGCAGGAAAATGTGTAATCTGGCACACGCTGCTTCGGGGTAGGATAAGCTGGTGTCACAAGCTCGCGTACCGCTGAGGGCGCAGCTTTCGAAATGTTCCCAACCAAAGCCTGTTAAACCAAACCCTGTTGCGTGTTTCTAGCAAGCAAGTTGCCCGAGGTAGACAAGAAAAGCCTATGCCATGGTGGGTAGCTACAGAAGTCTACTTTTGAGTCATCTGGCCATGGGTCAGAAATCCCGTACCCCAAAAAAAAATCCCAATCAGTGGTTTTGACCCAGCCATCTGGTGCCTCAGAGAGAGGGATGCCCTTGGAGATCGCCGCGGCCGAAGGCTGATGCAGCAGCCGCTGCTCTCGCGAGGGCAGGGGCGCCGGCACGGAGAGGTACTTCTGGCCCTGCGACCGCTCCGCGGCCGCGGCCGTAGCACACAGCACTGTTGCTGAAATAGTGGCTTTGGCTCAAAAACATGGCACCCAAAATAACACCCAACATGGCACCAAAGACTAACACCTGCGTAAACCTGGCCCTTTAATTTCGAGCCACATGTTGCAACTGGTCTTTATGACTTGTTGGTGCGAAAAGACCTCTCAGCTCACTTGAAATCCGACTCTCACGCTTCACGAGACGTGCCCAGACGAACCGGACCGATTCCTAACGCGCAATGCCTCGTGCTGCATCTTGATGTGCACGGACAGCTGCTTCTCATCCGGGTACGCCTGTCATGGAAGTCGTGCGTGACAGTGCGTGACTTAACTCACGTACGATCAAACTCAGGCATCCCAAAAGCTATCAAATACGGGCCAAAATTGCTGAGCCCTCGCTTTAGGCGCCTCGGAGCAGTACCCACAGCCAAAGAAGGCATCGCAGGAAGACGGGTGCATATCGCTGGGTGCCATAGCGAGGCCGAGCGCTGCGGAGGGCTGGGCCTTATCCTTATCCTTGCAGAAGTGTTGAAGTGAGCTGGCGGCGGGATTCGCGCGTCTCGGCCAATCTCGACGAGGTTTGCTTCGGCAAAAGGCCCCCAAGAAACGGCAACCAACGGCGGGCGAGGGGCAAAACGACCAACTACCCCATGAGGAAATGTGCCATGAGTCAGGGAAAAAAGGAAGCCTCGGCTCGAGGCTTGTGTGCACGAGCTGGGGCCGCTGCGGCTGTCGTTCCCAATGGCCTGCACAGCCTCGCGGAACGAAAGTGTATCCATTGGCCACATGTATGACATGTGTCAAGAGCTGCCCTCACTGTGTATTTTGAGGCTGTGAAACCATATCCCTTGTTGTCTATAAACTGCTGAAAACACCATATCTCTTGTTGCCTCTGTAAGAACGTGGATTCTGCGGAGTCTTGCAGTGGAAGCCCTATGACTACTTGGTCACTTTCAACACGATCCCTGCGGTATCACAGAATGTGGAGCCTTTTGTCTTTTGTTGAGGGCATCCTTGAGTCCTATTCGGCCAGTTCCAATTGCCCCAAGTGAACAGGTTCTTCATGTTTCAATATGATTTCACTTGAAATCCACCCAAATTTGGAGGCTGTCGTCACCCCCCCAAAAAAAAAATGGGGTTTTCCCACCAGGAGGGCGTCATACCTCCTCCCAAAGAAGCTGAGCCCCCCGGACCGAGATCGGCGATCGCAGGCCTCGCTGGCGGGCACCAGCTCCAGGGCCGCCAGGCCCAGCTCCAGGAAGCCGCGGTGCTGCGCCAGGAGCTCCAGCAGCGTGGCCTCGCGGCCGACGGAAGCGGAAGCGGCGGGGAGCGGCGGAAGCGGCGGCGGTTTCAGCGGACCATCGGCATGGCGTGGGGAGGGCGGAGGGTGGCAGGGAGGGGGTGAGGGGAGGGGGAGGCTGGGAGGGGTGGGGGCGGGGGAGGGGGTTGGGCCTCTTGTGGTTCTTTTGGTTTGTGGCAAAAAGGAAACCCGAGATCCATGGTTTGGGAAGTTGCCACAGATTAAGACAGACCCATCTGTTTGAACTTGGGTTGAGCTCATTTTTCAGCAATGGATTTAATGTGATGGGTCAGCCAGAAGGATATCAAATTTGATGGGATGTTGCAAACCTGCCAATGAATTCGGAGTCTGCAAGGTTTGTCTCCAAGTGGAGTAAGCCTCAAAATGGCAGGCTTCCTCTTAGTCTCTCTTCAAAACCCACCAGAAGTCAGCTTGCCGTTCTCTGGCGTTTGGGATTGGCCCTGATTCTACGCTTGCCCATGGTTTGACACCATCAACCCCCAAAAATGGACAACCAAATCACACCTTCTTACCGTTGTGACTCCACCAGCCTCAAAAAATGGAGCTCTTCGTCACAGCTTGTTCACCATTTTGACACCATCAGCACCATTTTGACACCATTCTAACTCTATCTTCATTTAATCGTACATGTGAACTGCCTGGGTGCCTAGGTCAAGCCTAGCTGGAAGTGAGCACAAAGCCTTTCATGGGCAAACATAAACTTTGCACATGTCCCCATCGTTTTGCCATGTGACTATTTTTGGTGTTCAAAAAGTGAGTTTATGACAGAACTCCAAAGGGCCAATCCCAAGGGCCAGAAAACACCAACCTGAAGAAGAGCGTTCCCGAAAAATAAGGCACCCAAATCTTTGGCAAAAAACAGCCATGTGTTGACCAAAACTGAAAAACTCAAGCGGTTGATATCCCTTTTGTGGGTGCCAATGGTTGATGCCCTTTTCCGGGAGATGTTATTGCAGCAATTTCAAAGGGAGTCCTCTTGGAACAGAATGTGGGTCATTCGCACCTGGCGGTAGACAACATATCCTGCGCATGCTGCAATCTAAGTTGTTTCATGACTGGGGGCATGCATGTGCCACTCCTGGCTCTTGTCAGCCTCACTTCCTCTTTCCCCAGTGTTAACTTGATCTGCATCTTCCAAGAACCGGGTGCAAGCCTCAACCAGCGATGGCCGCCATCTTTGGACGAGCCAAGACCAGCGCTTCGTCAGAGAATCCACTGCCTGCGGCCTCAGCTACGACTGCCATGGCTTGCCTGGCGATTCTCTCTGGGGCGCCGGCCACAGTCCAGTCCTCAGGTGCACGGCGAATCTCGCAACGTTTCAACGCCTCAGGAATGCAAAGAGAGACCGATCGCCCACATGGTGCAAGAGAAGAAACAGACCTAGGAAAAAGGCACAGACCCTACCCTCTAGGCAAGGTTCTTAGCTGCGCAGAAGGGGTCCGATGGATTCCCGGGTTCTGCTTGCAAAGGGAGAAGGGTTGAGTGCCCTTGTTGGAAGAAAAAACCCAACCGATCCCATCTCTCACGAAATTGGGGAAGTGCCAAAACAAGAATGGGACCCCCCAAATGGATGGTTTTCCCTTTGGTTTCGACTGCATTCCAACCCCACGGCCATTTTGTAGCTAGCCAGGCGGCAGGCTCTCCTCGCGCTCGCAGCTGCCCAAGCTCCGCTGGGTGCCGAAGATGTCGTGCAGCGCGTGGACGTCGCTGGGGGCCACAATGCAGGGCCTGCGAAGGCGATAGGCCAGAGAGGGGAAAAATCTCTCACGCGGCGCGCCAAACAAACTAGTGTTTGGGTTGGTAAAGGGAAGAATGGCGCAAAATGTGGCTTCCAAGGATCCAACTGCTGTAAGATGCCACAACCATGTCAATTGCACCAAAGCTTCATTTTCGGCATGCTCGATGCTTGCCATGCGCAAGCCAGTTTATCGACTCTCTCTGATCGAAGTCTTAAGCACTCAGCTGCTCTCCTACTGTAAGCACCAAAGGCACCTTTTGAGATCAGATCTGTCCGCCGCTCTAACACAAAAATCTTCCGCATGAGGCAAAACACCAGTCCTTATCCCTAGCCCAGGATCCCCGAAAAAAGTCAAGGGCCATCCCCCAAAAGGGCCAGTCAAGTGACCTATATACCGAAGCCCCACACGCCGAGCAGAGTTTCCCTCCCGCGCCTGCCGCTCTTTCGCGCCAAAGCGTTGAACAGAGACTCGAAGGCCAAGCTGCGGGGCAGCGGCTCATCCAATGCGAACCTCGGAGTTCGTCAGACCGGCCGTGGGTCAACACCCAGGAAACACCTGGTGAAAATCAAAATAGGTGGCAATGGATGTTCATCCACCCCAAAATGGAGCCATAGGTTGTGCCCCTTGGCCATATGGGTTCTTTTTGGGGCAGAGCCTCAAATTTTGTTCTTGCTACCGGATTTTGCAAAGGATTCTCCCTTTGGGCCCCCACAAGTGGGGTCCATGCAACAGCTACCCGCCCTTCCTTGCGGAGCCCGGACAAGTGGGGAAAGGCCTACTTGCTCACCAAGTTTAGCATGGATCCACGCAGGTGTTTGGCAAGCTTCCCTTTGACACCCTCGCAATTGCTGCCCAATTCCAAGAAATGGAGGACGGAAACCCGGGCACCAAGCAGAGACCTCAAGTGGCCATGAGCGGAAGAAAGCCGCCCTTCGTTTGGTACCCCCCGAGCAATCTTTATTCCGGAGAACATAAGAAAAGAACAACACACCACCGGAGGTCCGGGGAAACCGTCAAGTGGGACAAACGTCTTCTGTCGGACTCGGCACCGTTTTTCTTCCTGTTGTTTTTTCAGTTTTGGAGTCGAAGCCAAAAGGAGGAACCGTTGTTGCTTCATTTTTTTGCAGTTTTGGAGTTGAAGCCAAGAGGAGGACACCACCCAACATGGCGGGTCCGATTCCCCCAAAGAGAATGGGAGGTGTTTTTATATTTCTACAGTTTCTCTGTTAACCTTTCATAGGGCCTAATCTCAACCTAAGTTTACTAAATGTGGGGGCGTATTCATAAGGTTCTCGGCCACCCGACCCGCTTTTTCACCCAATACTGAATTAAGAAGGGACTAATTCAAAAGTGAATTGCAAACATACAACCCCCCCCCCCAAGTCGACCTTCCAAAGCACAACATGTACAAGCCACCCAAAAAACTCACATTAATAAAACTCCCCGAAAGCGGGGGCAAGCCAAACAAGTCTCTTTTAACAGGGACCAAAACAGTCTAAAATGACTCAACAGTAAGCAGGTAGCGTGCAGAAGTTGATGGCACACAGACACATGCAACAAGTGTGCAGCGCACCAGGCAAGGTAGCTACATAAATGGAACCTTCAGAGCCTCCCCAGCAGACTTCAGATCTCCAAAAAACATACATGCCCAGAAAGTGCGGCTTTTACATGAAATCTCTTTACAAAAGTGATGTCCCTCCACTCCAACATGAGGTACCCCACACAAGCTCTCCAAACCCGCATTAGTAAAAGGGTTCACATTAATAAACACCCCAAAGCGACCCCTAGGAAGAACTATCTACAAGTACTACAATAAGTACTACAAGTACTAGAAGCAGTACTACAAGGACTAAAGTACTACAGCTACGACTACAAGTGCTACAAGTGCTAGAAGCAATACTACAAGTACCATTGTCTTTTTATTACGGTACTTTGCCCGAAAAAGAAAAAGAAAAAGAAAAATCAGTTGAGGGGGGACCCCGTTTACTAATATGCCAGACCCAAGGCGCAGCTGCGCCACCGGCTCGGAGACGGAGGGCCAGTGGCTGGCCACGCCCAGCAGCTCCTGTAAAGCGCACATCCGACGAAAACAAAGGCGGTTCTCTTAAAGGGAAACCGGATTCTAGGTCTTCACTTCACTTCTCGTGGGTCCCCTTCAGTACCCTGTCAACAAAGGCCCAATTCGGTACCCCTGAAAAACAACCCAAACTGGATTCCGCCAAAAAACAAAAAGATGACAGTTCAGTGAGGGAGTGGAAGGGCCAGGAGAAGGGCAAAGGCCAACCGAAGAACAGGACTCCAACGAGATGTCTGAATGTGCCCATCAAAGGGGAACTCAGCCAAACCCCAAAGGTGATGTTTGAGCCATGCAAAGAAAGGAAACACAGGGACCTCTGCAAAATCTCTGCGGCCCAAAAAAGTCTTTCCATCAGGCAGTCAAGAGTCGCAGTTGAAGCGCTCAGTCAAGGCAGCCCTTGAAAACGCAAAAACATCCGGGCGGAGATAGAAAAAGAAAGGAAAAAGAAGGAAGCCCAGGCGCGGGATGCTTGACCACAAAGCTCAGCGCCACGGCAAAGACCAGAACAAGTGTTGCTGGGGACTCCCAAAGGATCTCCAGCCATCGCAGCCATCGCAGCCAGTCGCTCATGGATCTCAAAGACTTGCAAGTCGCAGAGAGATGCGTCGGAACAAGAAGCAAGTACACAGTAAGAGGGATCGAGACTGACATTAAAATGTTCAAAGTGCTACACACGTGGTTGGTGGTTATGGGCAAGCAAAGTCAATGGTCGACAATGCGTTGCTCTTGCAGCAAACCACACATAGGCATAGGCATTGGCATTCCGGTGTTTTGCTAGCGAGGCGTAAATCGCACATTCTTCAGAGCCAACACACTAAATGGTCAGCGAGCACATTGTTCGCACCAAATGGGGCGCTTCGATGAGACGATGAACAGCCTCATTGCTATCTAGTTGGCTGCACCAATGCGCCAAGGACTTCTCTTGTGGACTGTGAGCTGTCTAAAGCATTCGAGCCACCGAATCTACGCAACGCAAATGATCAGGTACCATCACTAGATGCATCCCTCTCATCCACTCAAAACCACATTGCCGGCATCTGGTCTGCATGGATCAAGCGGCCCAGCATTAACTGATGAATTCAGAGGATCATCTTGAGATCTCTGAAGCCGCTCTCTGAAGTCTTTCTGCACATGCAAGCTGCAAACTTTGTGCTCACTACAACTCGAAGATTTGTGTGCTTGCTTGGGGAGCTGTCGCAACATTCAAATGAAGGGCGAGATCTTCCGGACGACGCCGCGTCCTTGGCTACAATGATAGAGTGCGGTGAAGCCAAGGTGGAAGGGCAGCCAGCCTGTCGTTCCGCTTGTCGACGCCCGACGTCGAACGGGTGCCAGGGAAGCACGATGCCGCTCCGCAAGCGAAAGAAGACACAGAATCAGGGCCACCATGGCCAGGCCTGACTGCTTGTGCCACCAGGGCATCTGCTTCCAAGTCTGACCCGTGCCAACTGCGCCGAAAATGCCCACAGCCATGACGTCCGTCACCGTGTACTTCATTACTTCATGTATCACATCAGCTCCGACACCTCCTCGCCCACCACCTGGGACACCAGGGCATCTGCGGACCCAGTCAGTGTTCTCCGCCGGCACCAGCTGGCCCACAAGAAGGTCGGTCGAACGGCAGCTCCTTGCCCGCACTGATCTGCGCCAGCTCTCCTCCGACAGTGTCGGCGCGTCTGTATCAGGCTCTCGTCCACGCCCAAGTTTCCAAGGAGTCGATCCTTGGCGCGTCCGAGACACAAGCCGACGTTAAAGAACAAAAGGTGATCCCAAAGGACATGAGACGATGTCAAACTGCGTGATACGCCGGCAGCATGACGCAGCATGTAGCACCAGTGAGGAGGCATGAGAAGGAAAGAAAGACCTGAAAAAGACCTGATGCTGCCGGCCCTTGTGAGTCTCGTTGAAAAGCTTGGACACATCCTTGCCAGGAGAGGATGGTGGCGGGGCCGCCTGGATGCCTGTCCATGAACTCTGAGAGGTCGTAGACCTGCGCCACTCATGCACAGACTCGTACGCAAGCTGATGTCGATGTGAACACTCACGCTTGATCAGCAAGTCTGCAGCTCGTACCAAACATGAAGTTTGTGTATGAAGAAGAATCCGCCGACCCTCTGCCTCCCGCCCCAGCCTCCAGTCCGGGGACCGGTCCTGGGACTGGTCCTGGGACCCTGGTTCTGCTGTTTCAGATTACTTGTAGTCAGCCAAAGCCGGTCCTGGGACCAGTCCTGGGACCGGTCCTGAGACTGGTCCCAGGACCAGTCCCAGGACCGGCGGTTTGGTCCTAGCTGGACCGGTCCCAGGACCAGTCCTGGAACCGAAGCCGGTCCGGGATCAAGTCCTGGTGCGACCGCTGTATTGGGTCCCATTTCAAACTGCTGTGCTGCCACCTCAAACCGCTCCAGACACGTTTCCCAGGACACTGGACAGGGTCCCAGGTCGTCACTCCCTGCGACCAAACCGCCGGCCCGTGCGGTTATTGACGTCCTTGTGGTAGTAGAGGATCCCTGGATCTATTCTGCAAGAGAGTCCAACACGTCAAGTCAAACCGCGCCAGACTGGGACCAGCCTGGACAGGGTGCCAAGTCCCGGTCCCTGCCGGCGACCGGTCCAGGGCAACTTCGGGAGGGCCAGTTTCAGGGCGACCCCGGGAGAGGCGACTGCTCCCGGGCCAGCTCGAAGTGACTTGGGCGCAAGCCGTCCCAAGCGGTAATTAACGGACTAGCTGCCCTATTTCTGACTTTTCCGTTAATCCTTGTTTGTGGTCGTAGAGGATCTTATAAGTGGTCCCTGGGTTTGCGGACGTGTTTCAGGACCGGTCCTTGTGACTTTTCCCTTCATGCGCCGAGGGTCGGCGGCAGCAGGCGGGAGCCTGGTTAATCCGGCCACCGGACGTGATCGGGCCGCAGGCCAAAGCCTGGAGGGCTTACCTTCAGGTATAAGGCCATGCCGCCGACCATGCGCAGAACATGCGCCGACCATGCTCCGACCATGCGCATACGTTTTGCGCTGGGCCCACCCTTATAAGGGGCGAAGGATTTGCGGATTGGCTTAGGCGACTTCCGAGCATTTTTGTCGCATCTCCCCGCAGCGCCCAAAAACGAGTCCAAAAACGAGTATTTTTAGGGGGTGCCTAATACTGGACAACACCCCCAGCATTGCCAGCATCATCCCGGATGATGCGGATGATGTTATGCATGCTGGCGATGCGAAACAAGGGGAAAATTGCAGAGAGCGAAGGGGAAATGCAAGGAAACTGGAATGACTGGAAGAGAGCGAAATGGCAGTGACAGGAATTGCACGAACACGACGAACATGAGCTGGAGAGAAACCAAACAGCAGGAAAACAGAACGCGAAGGGAAGCGGAGGACGGGAACGAAAATATATTATTGGGAATTATGGGAAACGAAGAGAAACTGAAGAGAACTGAAGGGACGTGAATGGGAGGCGGACTGAAGCCACGGAAGCTAAAAAGAACAGAGGGAAGGAATGCGACTGACACAGCGCTCAAGGAAATGCACGGAGCTCAAACAGACAGGACGTGAAGGGAAATGTCAGAAAACTGTCGAGGATACAGGAAAGACACGCAAAGGAAGTGAGGTTCGCATCTCGGGAACTAATCGGAATTAGAAGAAAAGGAAGTGACAGGCAGGGCAGGGTGCCCGGTGGCCGGCTGTGTCGCGTCAGCGTGTAAATAATAAGGAAACGCACTTACCAGTGGCGATTCACTGATTCAGTTGTAGAAACAAAAACACGAGCCCCGAAACCGCCACAACACCAGAGAGGTCATCATGGCCGCATGCCGGAAGTCAAAACAGGGCATGCTTTCATTGCGTGGATTCGCACAAGTCCAAGCATCCCAACACCCCGCAGGGGGTCCAACTCCATTTTGGAGGGCTGGCTACAACCTGTTAGCTGATGTTCAAACTGTTTGCTTGCGACACGACTAAACCGGTCGCAAAAAGCATTGCATAAGTCCAGGAATTCAGGGGTGAGGCGAAGGCCTTAATTGGACTGGATTTGTGGGGTGCTTGCAAACCACATTTGAGCCATGGCCGTTTGCAATTTCTTAGCATCCTATTTGATTGCTAAGCCAGACTTAGGGGGTGTTGCTCCGGCCCGTTTAGTGCCTTTCAGTCCCTTTCAGTCCTTTTGAGTCCCTTTCAGTCCTTTTGCGTCCCTTTGAGTCCCTTTGCACCCTTGTATCAATTAACTAGAGTTCCCACCACCACAAAAACAAATGATGGCCATTGCATTCTCGCATCTTTTCGGAGGTGGGGAGGGGGTTGCACTATCGTCCTTTCCGAACAAGGGAAATTGCTGTGCATGTTTGAATCGCGTTCGTCGTGGCAAAACCGCGACGCCCCTCAGCAGCCAAGGCGCGGCCCGTCTGGACATCACGGGCAAGCCATGGTCAGCTCAAGCCAATCGCAGATGCATGCTGTCCGGTGGCTTTCGGACCGCTTCGCTTTGGTGTGGCACTGTCTTCTGCTTGACCCTATACATGGCGGATGGCTGTTATGGCCTGGCGCATCTCCTGTTGACCAAACTGTCTTGGTCAAGTTCTTCTTGCGGTCCGGCATTTACCATCCCAACCTGTACGGTGTGCCAGCAGCAAACCGATGTGAAGTGCTGCTGTTTGACGTGTTTTTTGTTTCAGCACGTTCCGGGAAAACCCTTGTCTGTCTCTGCATCATAGGGCATTGGGCTGCCAGCCGAAATGTGCAAAACCTTGTGCTTTGGTGGCAAATCGATCGAGAGCTGAAAGGAATCATTGAACCCACAGAGATGGCATGGCATCTTGACATCCAGCCTCGCAGGGATGCTATGTTTCTTCAAAGACTTGCTATATACATCAACCAATGCAGCCAGTCCATCCATTAGTATCGCTATGCATGAGTAGCCTGCGGCATTGCAGCCGCTGAGCAAAGTGCGGATCAAGCAATTCAAGCTGGGATGAACTGAGTCTGGGTCCACGAAAGTGACATCCTAGGTCCATTGAAGGGACATCCAGTAAAGTGACGTCCCACGGGTGTTTGAACGGTAAACCACCCCCAACAGCAAGCACTTCAAGGGACCCAGTCAGTCAAAGCATTTTCTCTCCCCACAGGGAATGGTAACTGCAGCAGCTATACGACGTCAGGCCACTGAACCACCCAAAACAAGAAGGGGGCAGGGTTCCAACACGTGCCGGTTCAACGCACCCCAAGGCGCGACAGAATGACATAGATGGACATGGACGCACAAGGGTTCCCTACACTTTGAAACATCATCCCTGTTTTGGTTGCAAGCTCAGTTCAAGTTGGCAACCCCAAGGTGATAGCTCTGGCCCCTTGCTCTCCTCCCTCAGCCCTTCCACATCCTGCTTTGCATCCCCGGCAAAATGCGAGTTCAACCCAAGAGACAGGGTGGAGAAAGAGGCGACATAACTCTTTGCATAACTTACTCAAGTCCATCACCCACTGTTGGAGGACGAAACTCCGCGCCACCAACATTGATGGTCGCTGCTGAAAATTATTAGCATCCTCAAACGTGGCATTTGAGATGAGGAGTGGGAAAGTCTTGGGCACGTTGCTGTCAGGCTCCGGCGCCCAAATGGACATTAAGGAGTGGAATCTCATAGGTGGAGAAGGTGGAGACAAGATCTTGGAGCTAGAGGATGGTGAGTTCTAACCTTTCACACAAGCAGAGGCAACTCCAGGACCTTTACAACTGTTCACGAGCTGTCGTGTCGCGAGAGATTCTCCTATTCGACCGCTCCCGACCACATGATTGTGGACTGCAAGTTCAAGCATGGCAAGTTTTTGGGCGTCCGCCAAGCGGACCTGAACGGCCGGATGCAAGACTCGGAGTAGCCATCACACAAAGGTGTGGCGAGGCAGATGTGGCTGGAAAGCTAAGTTTGCTCAAGAGCTCCAAGCGCTTTATGTACTTTTCCTTGAAATTTCTTCAGCATTGCGACAGCACTCACCGACAAAAGGGTGCGCATGTGTTGGGAAGGGTCCATTTGGAGCGATGGCAAGGGCAGTAGGAGGGCTATGACCCTTGAGGGTCCTTCATGGCCCTAATACTCACTCATAGTCGCTGTTAGGCTGCCAGTGGTCCCTTGCTACCAAGTATGGCTCAAAATCGGTACAGGCGTCCAGAATCGCGATACTTCCATCCAGTTGCTTACCTTGCGCACTGCCCAGGATGGGGTTGCCAACTTCGCTCCGTTTCATGCTTTTGCAGGTGGTTTTGAATGCGCAAGTTTCTGCGCCACCTAAGTTTCGACCTGCTTCATTTGCTCCTTGCATGTTGGCAAGGGATTCACCTTCATCATGCAGTTCTTGAAGCCGGCGGCCACAAGCCCGCGATTGATCGCGTCCCGGAAGGCCATCATGAAAAAGTTTCGGCTGCTGCAGATTTAGATCGTCTGAAGGATTGCCTGCGGGTTAAGGCATGTTGCACTGCTCCTATCTTGAACCCAAACCAGACCACCCAAAAGAACAAAGCAAGTCCGAAGCGGCCGCAGTTCTTTTAACCGGGATTGCTGAAAGTAGCACTGCTTCCAGGGCACGGATGCGCCTGGAGCAGGAGGTGCGTTGACCCCCCGTGAAACTTAAAGGCAAGACAATGCGTGTCCTTGCAGGTGCGTGCAGTGCGCGCAAGGCGTGGCAGGCGTGCCCACGCCGGTCCGGAGACCTGGTGGTCCTGAGACCGTAGGCGGTCCGGAGACCTAGAGGTCCGGAGACCATGAATGGAAGTGCAGAGCTTCTGCAACTTCCCTTGCAGAGCCTTGTAAAAAAAAGCAGTGCAGGGTGGGTGGGTGGGTTTCAAATGAAACAGATCAAGTTTGGGTCAAGGCTAGGAGCAAAACGGCCACCGCGGAAGTAGATTCACAACACGCCCTAAACACAAGGGAAAAGAAAACCCTAAGCGTTAAGGCATGTTGCACTGCTCCTATCTTGAACCCAAACCAGACCACCCAAAAGAACAAAGCAAGTCCGAAGCGGCCGCAGTTCTTTTAACCGGGATTGCTGAAAGTAGCACTGCTTCCAGGGCACGGATGCGCCTGCAGCAGGAGGTGCGTTGACCCCCCCTTCAGTGTTTCAGGCAACCCCGGTATAAGCGAGCCAGCTGGGCCGCTGGCCTCATCACCCCCCCTTCAGAGTGGGGTTGTACCTGGCAGGGCAATCGTCGCACGACATTGCACTCTCATGCTTATGAGCATCTGCTGCTCAGGGACTGCTCATTTTCGTCAAAGCGGCTTGCTGCGAAGCTGCTGACAGATGCAGCCAGATATTCTGGTTGCCAGGGCGATGTCGGGTCGCAACGCCTGTTGGGAGGCAGCAAGGCTTGTCTACACGCTGCTCGTTGCGCGCATGCGCCCAGAAGGCTGTGAGCTGCACGAAGAGTTGCAGCGGCCAGGAAGTCGTGAACAACTTGTTAAGGCTTGCTTCCGTTGCCGAGTTATCAGTGCCTGAAGGCATGCTGAACGAGTAGCGCCCACCACCAATATGGCTATGGGTGGCCTGCAGCAGTGCCAACTGCGCCAGCGTTTCGAAACATGCGATGTATCGCTGTCCAGGCTTGACAAGGCAAGGCCACACTGCCCGTATGTCCTGCATGTTCCAGGTTTCGGCAAACCAAACCACTTGTAATGAAGTGATTGCCCAGCCCCCTATACCTACCAAGTCGTCTTCGGCACAGGCATCTGCGGCTGCCAGTGCCTGCAGCTGGTGCGGCCGTGCCAAGGGCTGAACCGCACTGCTCGAGTGTCTTACGTAGTACTCGGTTGCTTCCCAGCAATGCTTTGATCAAGGCGTCCAGCTTCATCAGCTTAGCGGACACGAGCTGAATGGTATCGTGGGAGAAGTTGATCTCCCAGCCACACCAAATGAGGCTGTCCTGAAACTGCGCCTTTTTCCACGAAATGGGCGCAGCAATTGCGCAGAAGAACAGCACCACACTAAAGCGAACATTTCTGAAGCGCTGTCTCGGACAAGTGCGCACAGCAGGTCGTCCACGAAAAGGAAGGCTTTGCGGGGCTTCCAAGCCAACAGCCCATGCACTTGGCGGAGTAGGAACGCGCCAGCGCGCTGCCACCAGAATGCCAAGAAACGGCCTCCAAAATGGCATACTCTATAATGGTAGAGTTTTTCCTGAAAAGCAAACAGTAGAAGGCCATGCTCTTCAGGGCGGACCTGCACCTGTTTGTGCGCGGCTTTGAAGTCAATACTTGCCCCCACAAAGGCACTGGAGTGTCTTCTTGTTGCGTGGACAGCGCCAGGTCTGAAGCCATTGGCAGGCTGAGGCGCTCTGGTAAGTGGCACCTTGTGTTGACGTGGCACACGGTGCTGTCCAGGACAAGGCGAGGCTCTTTCCCTTCTGCAAAGACCACATTTAATTGCCTACGGCGATGCCTAAAGGCAATTTTTCTCGAGCTTCGGCAAGGCTAAGGCCGGTTTCGACAATCCAGTTGTTGGCAATTTCATTGCGCAAAAGGCTTTGAACTGTCTCTGGTTCGTCCTCTGCCATTTTCCAGTTGCCTTCACAAACTTCTAGATCTGGTGGCACGGCCGTGGCCATTGTTGGCTGGGTGGCAAGGCTGAGACAGCACCTGTCGGTACCCCGTGTTTGGCTAGGGCCTGCAGCAAATGTAGTCTGTATGGTTGTTCTGCTTCGGGACTCATGTCTGGAGGGCAGGGCAATTGCAGGGCTGCGTAAGCCATGGTTGCCACTTCCGGACGGCGTGAGAGGCCAGTCTGGCAAGCCATTCTTGACGTGTGCCAGGATTCTTGGCACCACATTGCGCTCATGCATCCAACGCAGCCCACTGTTTGCAGTGGGTGTGCTGGCTCTGGATGGCACCAGTCTGCAGACAGCATTCCTGCTCCGTCACAGGTCGGGAGCCTGCCAGGCGTCCTGGCTATTTCGGAGTGCAGTGGCAATGCTTGCCGGAGCTCTGTCCGTTTTGCTGACCCGTCCTACGCCTACCTGGGCAAGTTGCAAGGCCAGGGAAGGTGGGTACTCTGCAGTCAGAGTGCTAAGGTACACTCCTTGCTCCTTCACGCCTGCAATGCTTTGATGCTTATATGAGTGATTTCTGGATTTTCGCGCTATTGCAGCCGAAGGCCCAAGACTTGGAGAAGGTATTTTCGTGCCTGCAGTCTACCCACACCAAGGCGCATTGGTGGTCGCGCAGCATCTGGAAATTGGCCTCTTCTAGCCAGGACATGGCGGAGGGCGGCTGTTCCCAGATACCGACGCCGCCTTTGGAGACGACGGCTCTGAATAAGGCTCCACCGCGCTCGTGAATAGTTTTGCTATCCAGCAGTTTTTTGCGTTGCGACGGCGAAAGGCCGGGGACCCCGTTCATGTGTTGCGGCGTTCTCAAGGCTTTGGGTCCTTGAGTCTGGAGTATTCCTTGCAAGGCGGGGCAAGCATGATCAACACCACGATTCCTGACCAACATAGTCTGAGAAGAGCTTCAAAGACTTCGTTCCAGTATGTCATGCACGGTGTTGCCATCCAGATCAAAAGGCTCAAAACAGTCAAGGCCAAGGCTTATGGCTGCTGACGTCACCGGGTGTAGCCTACCCGAAAACACGTCCAAAAGCAATTTTTTCGAGGCTGAATGTAACGGCTGTTCTGATGAGCTGGCGTTAGCGAGCGTGTGCGGCCCTGGCTTTGTGCCAGGCCCATCGTGGTATGAGCAGGGCAAGGCCGGAGTCGGGGTAGCCTTTGCCGGCATGGGCAACTGTGAAGGCTGCGTGTGGGGCCCGGTGTGAGGCCCGGCCGGCTGCGGTGGCTGCCCGATCCTGCGCCAGCCCAAGATCAGGGCTGTTTCACGTGCGTTTGTTGCGGTCCATGGCAGGGTGCTTCTGCTGGCAGCCCATGATGGCGCACACATGGGCGAAACGGCACTGGTCGTTAGTGCAAAGGCCTGTCTGATAGCGTCGGCAGACTTGTGCTTGTTCAGCACCCCCCGACCCCACCCCCCTCCCCTCCCGTCCCGGAAGGCCCAAGCGCGATTTTTGCGGGCACCGTGGTTGATCTCGCCTCTCAGTCCTTACCTGACAGAGCAATCATGAGAAAACATGTGCGCGGAAAAGGAGAGCCTCCTGGCGATGCTCAGGTCGACAGATCGGATCGGCGGCGTCTTCGCCGAGGTCTTTGCCTAGGAAAAAAAAGCAGCAACGACAACTGCGACCTGGGAATGAGTGCCGAGCAGATGAAGATGCCGGCTCCGATTCCTGCACCAGCCGGCCAAGAAAAAAAGCCGCAATGTGAATCCCCATCCTTGCATGGGCCTTGCGTTTCTTGCTTTGCGACACGTGCTCTCATCCATCGCCTCAAGAGCCGTCAGCTTCGCGATCTGCATCGCCTGCTCCATCAGCTGGCCCTGGGCCGTCACCGCCTGCTCGCGGTACCTGACGAAGCAATCCGACGAAGCGACGGTGTTACCACTCAGCGATCGCCTTTCCACCTTCTCCGTGAGCTCAACGCACTTGTCGCGCTCGGCCTTGAGCTCCGCCTCCAACCGAGCGATCGTCGCGGCCTGAAGACAAAGCAAGTTGGTGCATGCTGGAAACTCTGAAAAGAAGGCGCCTGCGTCACCTGCCGGCTCTGCCGCTCGTGGTAGGACGGCGGCCTGCCACCCCCCGTCAAAAGCTCGGTCGGCAAAGCACTGCACGCCTGTTTCGCCCCGGAGGAGGGTGCCGCTGATGCCTGTCAAGCAACGGAGTGCTCAAGAAAAAAAAGAACCCAATGAGGCGTCGACGGATGTGCAGTCGCATGATGAGGCCGCCTGTCAAAAAAGAGATTGCTCAAGAAAAAAAAAGAGACTACAATGAGGCGTCGGCGGATCCCAATGCGTCTCCTGGCAGACATCGACACTGCACAAAAAAGCACCCCTCCGACAAGCCTCCCTCCGACAAGCCTCCGAGGGCGCCCAGCTGCCCCACCATTCTTCTTCCGCGTCATGCGATCCTGCGAGAAACATCTCCCCTTCCCAACAAAATGAAGCTCGTCAAAACATGCTCCACGCCTGTCCATGCGGCCCACATCGCTGCCCACCGTGCTGTTGCTGTTGCTGTTGCTGTTCACTGGTGAACCTGAGCCTCACCTGCTGCTGTTGCCGCTGTTGCTGTCCGATCCGAGCCGAGATCTTGCGAAGCACGATACATTACAAAGCTCGTCTAAAAAACGTTTAAGAAACAAATCCCAGAACCCCCCAGCATCCCCAGCAAAGGCGTCCCCAGCAGAGGCGTCCCGAGCGACAAAGCCCGTCCCGCGCGGGACACCGTGAAAAACCACGCAAAAATCATGCAAAATCATGTCATGCCAAAATCAAGCAAAAAATCATGTCATGCGAAAAATCGTGCAAAACGAGCTATTCTTCTTGTCCGTATGTAGATATACGGACTGGAAGAATAGCATTTTTTCAGCGCAAAAACCGTGCGAAACAGGCTATTCTCCCCGGCCATACGCGCACGTATGCCCCGGGAGAATGCGCGCGGCCGGACAAAAAAATGGCCCCGTAAAAAAAGAATGGCAAGTTGGGCGAGACAACGACAACAGATTACGGAGGCCGCGGACGGCGGCGCCCGGGCTCGCACGGGGGCGGATGGAGCCGTCGTGCTGAACTTGCGGCGCGGACCGGGGGCCTACGCGCTGCTCTCGCGCGCGGACGGGCAGCTGACCCGGGCGGGCCAGCACTACTACTCCCACCTGGGCCTGCGGCCTCCCAGCAAGGACTTCGACTACAACCAGCCCCTCATCCGCGAGGGGCCCAACGACTACATCCTGCTGCGCAACGGGCAGAAGAAGCTCGTGCGCTCCCTGCAGGGCGGAGAGCACCGGCTGACCAAGCTGGGCAAGGGCTTCTTCCGCGACAAGTACTACGAGTACCTGGTCCACGTGCCGGTGATCATCCGGGGCAGGAGGCGCAGCGGGCGGAACGCGGGGGCGGGCTACGAGCGCAGGGACTGGCTGCCGGTGAACGAGCTGGGCGGCGCCATGACGAGGCACCCGGCCCACCTCACGGAGGAGCAGGTGGCGCAGCGGGTGAAACAACAAGTGGAGGCCTCGCTGGGCGACCCTGTTGCGGCCTGTACTCGCAGCAGCCCGGAATTGCTCGGCCCTTTCCCAGAATGCGACCACAGCCCCTGAGGGCGCAATCCTGCCTTTGGGGTCGGCAGCTTGCGAAGCTTGAGCCGAAGCTCTTGGACCTGCTTCAGCATCTCCTTCCAGTCGGACGTCGACCTCCTCGGCGACTCCATCGGCTATCAGCCGCTCCAGCACGGGCGCTCCCCGAGTGAGCTCATCATGCAGGCGGCTCACCTCCTCCAAAGAGGCTCCCCGCTTCAGCGCATCGGCATCGACAGCGGCCTTCAGCAGAGGCCTCAGCTGCTCGCGGCGCTCCAGGATGCGGGTGTCCATTCTGAGTTTTTTTACTGAGCAAAAATCGGCTGCGGCAGCGGAAGAAACTACAGCGGACACGGCTCCACACGCAGATCCGCGACCTCAAGACTCTCAGCCGAACGCGCGCGGCGCAGTGGATTTCCCTTGTTCATTGCCTGTCTGGGATGGGCCTGCAGCGGCTCTGGAAGCGTTTCTGCTTGTTCATCGCCTGGCTGCGGCAGTTCGAGGCAAGCTTCGGCATGCAGGAAGAAGCTCATCGCCTGGTCGGAAGGGTCTGTGGCAGCTCTGGCAGCTCATTGCTTAACTTGGGGTGCCTCAGATGCCTCCACCATCTATGCAGAGTTCGATAGACAGGGGTTGACCGCGGACACTGTTCAAAACGGCGTGGGACATTCTTTTCCTGATGTCCGCAGAGTTGCAGCTGGTCGGTGCCTTTTTGCTGGCTTTCTAAAATCGGGGAACTCCCTACAAATTCCGAGCCCGTATGGAAATTACAAAACCGGATTTTGTTGTTGAAAAAGGGACCTTTTTTTTGCGGAAACAAGTTTTCGCCACAATGGCTGCCCGCAATCTGGGGCAGGCTGCGGCAAATGGACAGCTGCTGGCTGCGCAGCTGCAAGCCGAGGCCTTGCTGGGTGATCGAAGGGGACGAGCCCTGGCAGCCCGAAACGCGGGCGAAGCTGGCCTACCGCCTAATCTACTGCTGCCACCTGCGCGTCAAGACTCAGGGTTTGGGATGCGCTAAAAAAAGCAAACCGTGGCCATGGGGAAGATCAGCTTGTTCCCATGGACTTGCTCCCCATTTGTTCGCTGGATACTTGCTCAAAAGCCCCATCCGCCATTCACCTGCGAGAGCTTGTTGACCAACTGCTTGCCCCGAGAAAGCCGAGAGAGAACTCGGCTGGCGAAATGGCGCACAGTCGGCAGAAAAAACACCAGCTTCAGCCATTGGCGCTTCATGACATGCTACCGCGATTCCTGGAAGTAATGACATTGTCGCTCCATGCGTTTCTCCCTGATCGCCACCTTCAACAAATAGCATCAAACACCTGTGCACAACTTGGCTCAAAAAGATCAAACTGGCAAGCCACGAGAGCAATTCTTTCCCCCACACTTCTTCAAAGGGCTTGGTACTGCATCCGCACGCTTTGGCCACACCTCACCCCATTGCCGTCTCTCGGCTGGACTTTGCAGGACGGCCGCTGGGTCAAGGAAGAAAGCATGTCAGCAAGTCTGCGCGAGACAGATGAGCCGAGCACTTGGTTCCGATGCCTTTCAATTTCGGGTTGCGCCGTCGCCCAGCTGTCAGGGCAGACTGCTATGGATTCACGATTCCAGCTGGAGCTGCTGGAGCCGCATAGTTTGAGGCACCTCGGCAGCCCAGCAGTGTTCTACACTTGTGAACTTGCATCGTTGAAACAGGCTTCTGCTGGCTGCGGCCACTGTTCTCGGCTGAGGCAATGCTGGGGCACAACGTCTCACCTCGTACAGGAACAAAAGCATGCAGTCGCAGGCACAGTTGTTTCGTTGCAGTGCGACTTTGCTTAAGGGAGGCAACTGTTCACACTTTTGAACACCAGGCAACGGTGTTCAAGTCAAGCGGGGAATGCCTGCGACGGGTACAGGACCAGCAACAGTTGCCGGCGCTGGTCAACAGCTGTTTCACTGAGGCATTCCTCCCTGTGCAGCTTTGACATGCAAAGCTCTCCTCTCGGCAATAAATGTTGATTTTATGAGCATCGCATATGACTCGGTTTGGCTTCTTCTGCTTGATGGCCTCAAGGTATCAGAGTGTGACATCGGTCTCAAGAGCCACAGCAAACCGCTTCTGAGCGCAGGGCTTCTTTAAGATCATCCACCTGACATCCCCGCGAAGCATGAAGCGGCATTTCCGAAGGCAAAACAAAGCTGAAATAGATCCTTCGCAGGCGCAGCTGAGGCCGCCGCGTTTGCCAAAACTCCTTTAACTTGAAAGGGGTTGCCAATGACCTCGAAGTTCTTGCCGTCCTCGTAAGGCACAAGCACTGCAATCCAGTTCACATCCATCCGTTTTACCGGTGGCTCCACAAACGCCTTTGATTTTGGAGCTAGGCGACAATTTGAGAGCTCTTCTGAGAAGGAAGTCGACAGCTGTTTTCAGAACGTGAATGCAGGGCAGGCAAAACTGCTCACAGCTGCTGGTAAGGTCCAGGCAGGGCTTCCCAGCTGACAGACCCACACCGCAGCGGATGGTTGCGAGGCGGCACTGCCTTGCGGGCGACAACCCTATTGGTTGCAGGCAGCACTGCTCTTGCAACTGACAATCCATGCATTGAATGAAAAAACTGACATATCCCACCCCAAAAGAGCGGACAAAACACCAGACCGACAAAAAAGCAGCGCAAAACCAGTGCAAGGGTCTGGTCTCAGCTTTTGGAGGCAGGTTGATGCTCTTCAGCGACTGCACACTGTGGAGCTCAGGCTTGCCATCGTCTTTGAGCACCAACCGTCGTGCCACCAGGTCACAGTCCACTGTGAACTTGTTGGTGCTTTTGATGCCCTTGCTCTTCACGTGGACGGTGTATCCGGTGTGGGCGATGTTGGGGACTAAGCCTATGACTTGAACATCATCAGCTGTAGTCTTCTTCACCTTGTCGAGCATCCTTTCACTGTCATTGCCGATGATGTAAAGAGCCTTGTGTTTGGCGTTCTTGTAGTTGGTCTTGCTATCGAAGCGCTGAAGGTGCTCGGTGATGTTTCCATTCAGTTTCACACCCTCCAAAACAAAACGCTCCCCACCAATTTCAAGTGCAATATCTGGATTTCCTTCACCCTTCCGAGATCGCTTTGTGGAAACGGGCTGAAATCCCATATCTTTCAAGACCGTGCAAATTGCCTGGTTGCACTGCTCCTCACCCGGAAGACCATCCTTCGCCAACTCAGATGTGTTTCCTTCGAAGCTCACAACCTGGGAGAAGAGCAGGTAGGGCAATGCGCGCATCAATAGGTCTGCACAGTGTTGGGGTTTGCCGCGCTCAAATTGAACTTGCAAACTGTGCCTCTTCTTCAAATTGTGGAAGTAATACGAGGCAAGCAAAGGGTTCTGTGCCCTCACTCCTCCAATCCAACTGTTGGAACTCTCCCTCTGTACCACTGTAAATAGGAAGCACGAAACCGTAGATGGTAAGCTCTCTGCGGAGATGGTGTGGCAATGTTGTTGAGCCCTTGCACAAAAGCTCTACAAACTCTCTTGGCACGTTGCTCACATCTTCGTAGAGGCCATTGACCCTAACTGCACGGCTCTTCTGCAGGTATCCCAAAATCTCATTGCTTGCACAATCCCAATCTCCTCCATTGTAGCTATTCCGCACAAACCCCACTGTCTGCCGGAAATCCCAGCCTTTACCACTTCTCTGCTTGCTCTGCTTGCTCTGCTTGCTCTGCACCCAGTGCATTGTTGCGATGAAGATGCCACGATGTCCGCCGCAAAATCGCATAAAGAACTGGATGCTCTTCTGGTCCAGCCTAACACCGGCTTCCTCAAGCTGAGTCTCCAGCTCTTGCGTGTTGCTCAAGGGAGGTATCCACATGTACTTCTGGGTGATTTCAGCGGGTGTGGACACAACACGGCCGGATGCAGTGGAAGCGTCCCCTGAAGCTGAGAATAGCAACACCTTTGTTCGATACTGTTTGTTGCTCTTGAAGAGGTTAAAGCACAATGTCGCGGATGCGAACACTGTGCGGGCTTCGTCATAAATCAAGGTCAGATCGTTTGCTTTTGCTATCTTCAGGGCATTGCTGAACTCTAAACTGTTTCTTTCAACTGTCGTTTTCGTGCGCTCCTCGATAGCTTCAACTGTCCTCGATTTCCAGGCCTGTTCGGAGCATTCATCAGTTGCAGGAACATTGACGTACTTCTCGGGAAACTCACGTGCCAAATGCTCCGCCAGTGTTGTCTTGCCGGTGGCTACTCCGCCGCGGAGGAAAACGACTTTATCGTCTCCTTCAACCAACTTGTCAATTTTCTTGTTGTAGTCTGTCAGGGAAATGAAAACATGCTTCTGCACATCTGCCGAGTCGCCCAGCGGTGGCAGTATCCGACGCTTTTGGGGACTTGCATTGCGGACTTGCGCTTTCAATCTAGTCGGAAGTCTTGCGTCAAATCTTGTGGGGGGCTGGAATGGATTGCATCCGCCGCCGACAAAGGTCAAATGCTCGTGCGCACTGTCAATGAAAAGCATCGCCAAGACCAGCGCGCAGGTCTTCATCACTTTGCACAGGCCTTGCCGTCTTTGGGTAGGTCGCCTCATGATGGGGGACGCCTAACTGATGAACTTTCTCTGAGGGTATGTCCCACACATTGCCTGAATACATGGCAGTACTGCAACACATTGCCTCTTGGTACAAACTACTGTTTCTATGGTGTGGCTGATTGTTGAAGTGATGAACATGCTCTCAAAGGGTTTGAGTGAACAACAGCACCGAAGCACGTGCCCAGGCTTGGACATCTCCCGCCCCCTTGAGCACATGATAAACAGCTTTGTTCATGCATGTCGCACTGCTCCTAGCTTGAACCCAAACATGGAACCTCAAAAGAACAAAGCTCGTCCGAAGCGGCCGCAGTTCTTTTTACCGGGATTGCTGAAAGTTGCACTGCTTCCAGGGCACTAGTGCGCCTGGAGCAGGAGGCACATTGACCCCCCAAAATGTGAAAAGGCAAGACAATGCGTGTCCTTGCGTGTAAATGCAGTGCTTGGGGGGCGCGGCATGCGTGCCCACGCCCCAAGGTCCGGAGACCAAAAGTCCGGAGACTCGAGGTCAAAATTGGTCCGGAGACCTGGTCCGGAGACCAAGTGCCCGGAGGCGACCCATGAAAGTGCAGAGAAACTGGTAAATCGAACTATGCGTTGGCCGTTTTGCTTCTAGCCTTAACCCAAACAAAGCTTGTCCGAAGCGGCCGCAGTTCTTTTGACCGGGATTGCCGGTACGTCCAATTACCATTTACTCCTTGCCAACTCTTGCAGGCATGGGCCCGTGCAAAAATCCCAGGTGTGCTTTACCAGGCTGGTCGGTTTTGAATGCGTGCATGCAAATCCAGCTGGCCATTGAATCTGCCCATAAATCAAACACACCACTTGCTGGATTTACACTGGATCTCCTTCAATGGCCTGCCCCGACGCCCTGCATTGCACATGCTTAAGAAGCTAGGCTGTCCGCCATCCCATTGCGGATTCGTGGTACGCCCTGGCGTCCGGAACAGGCAGCAGCCTCCGTGGCCGTTGCACCAGCCCAATATCCGCCGTTGCCCTGTCAGCCAGAACAACTGGCGTCAAGCCGCTGTAACCGGGAAAAAGTGCAGTCACCGCATGCCAAGCTACTCACAGCCCAGCGTGCATGGTGACGCTAGCATCTGCCCTGCCAGGTACAACCCCACTCTAAAGGGCGGGTGATAAGGCCAGCGGCCCAGCTGGCTTGCTTATACCGGGGTTGCCCAAAACACTAAAGGGGGGGCAGCGGTCAGAACAATGGCGTCTTTGGCGAGCAAAACAACCGCCGGAAGGCCATTCTGCAGTGAAGGAAACAAGGATCTGGCTAATTGCAAGGTCAGCAAGGAGCTTAAGCTCTGCTGCACTCCATCCGCATACTCCACGTGCCAAGTTATTCTTTAATCGTCTGATTCCATCTTTCCATGCTGACAAGCTGGTAAGCTCAACTTGGTGCTGAACGTAGCGCGGTCGGCAATTTCAAGAAAATCCGTCCATGGCAAGTTGGTTTCTTGCTCTTCAGCCTCGTCCCGCTGCCAAAACTTATTCCGGCCCTTGGGATTTCGGCGGAATCTGTATTAAATCGCCAGTTTAACAACCATTCCACAAAAGAAATGGTATATCCTTTAGCCTTGCAAATTGCTTGCCATTCTGCGCTTAACTCCGCATGTGACTGCTCCGGTAAGATTGTAGTTGCTTCAGGAGGGATTGTATGCGGCGAAGCTGCCGTACCCGATGCCAAGATCTCATCGTCATGGCCTTACCTGGTGGCTGGTTGTTCGGATCGGTTTTGCAACCGGTTGCTGTCTCGGCCTTGGTAGCTACCAGGCATCAAAGCTTGCGGTTGGTGCAAAGGATCGGCTAAGTGGTGATCTGCAATTGCTTTGTCAACAAATCATACGAATCTCCCTGGGCCGGGGGGCGGTGTTCAGCGGGTTGGGCCGGCGCCGGATGTGAAGATTTTGCAAGTTTTTTGGCGCTGCCATCCAACGCCAAAACTGGCTAAGCGGGCCTTTTTGTTGAGTTTTTGACATGGGCTTGGTTCACCCAACCCGCTGGGGCTTGATACTGGTCCGCCCAACCTGCGCTCGATACTGGCTCGCCCAACCCCGTTTTTGACACTGGCTCGCCCAACTCCGTTTCGATACTGGCTTGCCCAACTCCGTTTCGATACCGCGATTTTGCATGTTTTTGACAGACCGCATCCACCCGAGGGTGGGGGGGAGCTGTGGCAGGTGTCTCACCCCCTGTCTCAGGATTGTCTCAGCTGTCCCAACCTTCAGCTGGGTGGGCCGGCGCCGGCGTCGAAAAAAAGTGAAGATGTTGCCAGTTTTTTGGTGCTGCCACCTGTCGTCAAAAACGACGAAGAGTGGCAGCGGGCGTTTTTGTTGAGTTTTTGACACCCAACGGGTTGGGCTTGGTCCACCCAACCCGCCGGGCTCGTCCGCCCAACTCCGTTTTTGATACTGGTTCGCCCAACTCCGTTTCGATACTGGTTCGCCCAACGGGTCTGGAGGGGTTTCGATTTTTTTAAAGTACTGGTTCGCCCAACGGGTCTGTGGGAGTTTTTTTAAGTACTGGCTCGCCCAACGACCCTTGATACTGGCTCGCCCGGCAGGCCGGAGGCTTCGATGCCAGGCAGGTCGAGGCTTCGATGCCAGGCAGGTTACGTGGTTTGGCACTCCCGAAGCGCCGTGCCGTGACCGTATGACCGTATGATCCGTATGATCCGTATGATCCGTATGATCCGTATGACTCGGGCTGAGGCTTCAATGCCAGGCTTGCCGAGTCATACGAATCATACGAATCATACGGATCATACGAATCATACGGATCATACGGTCATACGGGTCATACGGATCTCCCTGGGCCGGGGCAATGTTCGGCTGGCTGGGGCCGGCAGGCCGGAGAACCTGCCCGAAGCGCTGTGCCGTGACCGTATGACCCGTATGACCGTATGATCCGTATGATTCGTATGATCCGTATGACTCGGGCTGAGGCTTCAATGCCAGGCTTGCCGAGTCAGACGAATCATACGAATCATACGGATCATACGGTCATACGGGTCATACGGATCTCCCTGGGCCGGGGCAATGTTCGGCTGGCTGGGGCCGGCGCCGGCGTCGAAAAATGTGAAGATTTTGCAAGTTTTTTGGGCGGTGCCACGCTTCATCAAAAATGATGAAGAGGGGCACCCCCGCCTTTTTTCTTGTTTTGGCGCGGGCGGTTCGTTTAATTACTGGTCTGCCCAACGGGTCATGACCCAACCAGACGAAGGGTGTCGGGAGCTCGGAGCTTTTTTTGGGCCCTTATAGGAACCTATAGGAACCTATAGGAATCTTATAGGAAACCCATAGGAAACCCATAGGAAACTCATAGGAAGGCCATAGGAAAAGAAGAAGAGGGCTTCCTACAGGTTTCCTATGGGTTTCCTATGGGTTTCCTATGGGTTTCCTATAAGATTCCTATAGGTTCCTATAGGTTCCTATAAGGAGCCCAACAAACCCTCGGACTCACTGCCATGGTTTGATGCTGGCTCGCCCAACCCGTTTGGCTTGATACTGGTCAGCCCAACCCGTTTGGTTTGCCGAGGACCCCAAACCCTAAAGGGACATTTGTGCGGTTTTGCGCCACAAAATGCGATTACTCTCGTCCGTACATCTATGTACGCACTGGAGTAATAGCTGTTTTGCACGGTTTCGCACGGTTTGCCCACGCCACTTTGATTGGTTCGCCCAACCCGTTGGTTTCCCCGAGGACCCCAAACCCAAGGAGCATCCGGGAATTTCCCAGCCTGCGCAATGCCTAAAAGCCAGTTTTTTCGCTCGATCAGGATCAGGCGATTCCAACTTGAGTGTGATCAAAGTTTTTTTTTGCGCCAAAACGGGTCCGATCAAGCTTCCGCGGAAAGGCGGAGGCCTGAGCGTGCCTCAAAAAACCATTTTCAAACTAGTCGAGGGTCCTGGGCCGCGGAGGCGCCAGGAAGTCGTCCAGCTGCCTCACAGCCGCCGGCCCCCGTCTCGTCAGCCGGCGCGTTGCCGCGGCGCCGGCAGCTTCAGCAGGGTCGGACGGTCATGGAGTCCACGGCGCCCAGTGCTGCACGTCGCCGCACTGAGGGTTGAAGCTCCTCGCCGCGTTCGTCGGCGCTCGGAAGGCGCCCGCGTCCTGCACCGCCTTCACGCGCCGGTCGGTGAGATCCTTGTCGTGCTGGAACTGTCGGCGTTGTCCTGGAGGACCCTGAGCTCTGTGGCCGGCTGCTTCTCCACGTCCTCGGGCGCGCCGTGCACGTCTCGTGGGGCCGCGCGTTGTAGGCCCCGGCCGCCCGCTCGCTCCACTGCCCGCCGCGCCATCGTGGCCAGGTCCTTCTTCAGCGTCTGGCAATGGCGGTCCTCGGGCCGCTTCGTCCGTGCACGGCTTCCGCAGGACAGCTCCCGGTCCAGCGTGGCGAACTCGTTGCCCAGGTCTGTCGTGACCACGAAGTTCCCGTCGTCCCCCGTCAGCTCCCGCGCGGCGCGCCTGGTGGCGCGGCCCACCGTCTCTGCGTTCTTGTTCTGCAGAGGTTCCACGGCGGCCTCCCGGGTGAAGACGTCCATCACACCAGGCCGTACTTCGTCTTCCCCGCGTGTTCTGGCTGAAGTCGATGAGGTCGGCCTGCAGGTCGTTCGGCCCCTCGGCGGCCGACTTGCCCAGCGCGCGCGGCCGGGGCGCCTGCACCTGCCGGCCCACGTCGGCCTTCAGCGCCTTGAAGGCCATGGCCTGCGTCACGTCGAGGTCGCGCTGCCTCGCGAGCCGGTACAGCTTCCGCGGGTCCCGCACGTTGAAGTCGTCGGCCAGGTCCCTCAGCGCCTCCATTTAGCTTTGTTGCCCGGGGCTGTCAAGGTTCCGCGAGAACGCGGAGGCCTGAACACACCTACTTCTTGCCCCAAAATGGGGCTTGGTTCCTCTAGAACGAGGAGGCCTGCTCACACAGCTGCTCACGGTTTTTTACTTGTTCTTCGGCCTCCGCTGGGCCTGCCAGGCTTCCACCTCGTCCAGCCGGGCCTGGA